TAGTACTATAGTAATAGAGCAAGTGCAGAATTGCTGAACCGGAATTGATAGCTTGAAAGCATTTAGCGCCGGGCCCTTGAAAGTGCCGGGCCCTTGAAAGTGCCGGGCCCTTGAAAGTGCCGGGCCCTTGAAAGTGCCGGGCCCTTGAAAGTGCCGGGCCCTTGAAAGTGCCGGGCCCTTGAAAGTGCCGGGCCCTTGAAAGTGCCGGGCCCTTGAAAGTGCCGGGCCCTTGAAAGTGCCGGGCCCTTGAAAGTGCCGGGCCCTTGAAAGTGCCGGGCCCTTGAAAGTGCCGGGCCCTTGAAAGTGCCGGGCCCTTGAAAGTGCCGGGCCCTTGAAAGTGCCGGGCCCTTGAAAGTGCCGGGCCCGTAGCTACTACATATGTAGCTACTTTTGCTACTAGGATAATCTGGTACTGGCTCCAGCGAGCGAGCTCGACGCTCTTTCCCACACTCGGCTAATGAGAGCCATGCCGCCAAATGCACGGTCCGCGAGCGCACCCGAGGACGTCCGAGCCACGTGGCTTTAGTTTTTCATACATTGTACGACGGGCTTCAAGAGCCCTTGTTTTGATGTATTTTTTTTATGCTGCTTCTGATCTCATTGCTAAACATCGGCAGATGTTCTTCTGCGTCTGTGTCTTTTCAAATTGTGGTTAAAGGGTTTGCTTCGGGCATGCGTTGGTACAGAGTAGAGCTGAAATGATTTACCCCCCCCCGCCCCCATCTTCCCTCCCACTCACAGATATTCAATTAATTAGTGCGATTTAAGGGTCATCATTCGATTCGAGATTTGTGTGTGTGGGGGGGGGGGGTTACATTGTGGTGAATGTGAGGTGGCCAGATGGCTCAAAGCATTGAGCTGGCACGGCTGAGAACCTGGGATTTGGGTTCCCAAGTCCAGTGTTTTAATGATCTCAGCCCATTCACCAATGACTGCACCATTAAAATAAATAAAAACTGTCATATGGAATGTGTCACTGCACTCCATTTGGCTAAATTCCAGCCCCCCGATATTAAACTACAGTAAAATCTTGGATTGCGAGCATAATTCGCTCCGGAAACGTGTTTGTAATCCAAAGCACTCGTATATCAAAGCACTCGTATATCCGTTGTGATCAAGCGGCGCTCGGCAGACAAAGCGTATACGTACTACTCGTATTGCAAGACCTCGCTCGTTTATCAAATTTATATTTATTTAAAAATTTAGCTCGTCTTGCAAAACACTCGCAGACCAAGTTACTCGCAATCCAAGGTTTTACTGTATTTAATTTGACCATCGTGGGAAGAGCATTACTCTCGGATTTGGCAGACAGTGCTGTCCTTTTGTTAATGGATCAGATGTCCCTTGAAGCAATCTCAGAAATAGCTCTGTAATATCTGCTTCTGTGGACTTTTCTAAATTGAAAGGTTTCATTGGTCTGTGAGAAGTCTGAATGGATTTTTCGTCTCATGACATGCCACTGATAGCACAATCACGATAAAATGTTGAACAAAGACAAACCACCGTTCGGTAACGCAGCAGCTTCTAGTGCCTGTGGAGCTGACATGATTCCATGAATACAACATCGAACGTTACGCTTGTGATTCAATGAATGTATTGTAATCTTGAAAAAAATAAATCCGGTTTACCACTCGAACAAGCGTGGGGCTGGTGGTCATTCCCTGAGCCAGGGGTAGAAATCCCACATTCCTTGCAGCAGAGACCACATTCCGATGAATATAGTGACTCAATCAATGGGACAATCACTGTTGACTTCCCATAAAGATGCGTTCATTGAGTCGAAGGGATAAAATGGCTGAGTTGTCTTCTCACTGGAATTTGAACCCGCACTTTGCAAATAGCGAGCTGTGCTTTCTCAAGACTAAATTTGCAGCCCTTTCTCAATCCACTGCTGGGCAAAGACCTCCATATGCTGCTGTGTTGGTCATGGATGTTGTTTGACCATACTTCACCAAGCCAGTCAGTGTGGGTTGCTGAAGGGGCTATGGGCCCAAGACCGATTCAAACATCACTCACCACTGATGTTAGTCGTGGATAGTCTCTGGGTTTATATCACAGTGTGCCAACCACTGTGGCAATACTCCTGACCTCCGGTCACTAAATGAGGCGTTACATTTATCCACAGACTATAACTTTCCCCGAATTATTGGTGATTTCATCACGCCTATTCTATATTTGGTTAAATTAAGTTAACCGAAGTTAATTCTGAATTGAGACTCCTGCGTGAGTAGGCCAATATACCCTCCAGAGTGGCTCTCTGGATCTTCCTAGTGGAGGCCTTCCTGCCAGCAACGGCATGAGCAAGCAATTGCAGGGTTGCACCTGGACCCTCTACTTTTGGAAACTGTTGCGATTCAATATTTTTTTTGCACATGAGACCATGATGTTATAACCGCTATCTCGTACTGTGACGAATAGCCGGATAGTAAGATACGTCTATTGAAACGCTTGTGTGAAGTGAAGGGAACAGACGTGAGACATAATTCAGATGATCCGCGATCTCGGGATACTGAGAGTTACACAATAAAGGCCGCGCGTCAAGCGATGAGTCATGTCAGGTGGCTGAGTAGACACCACCGAGGTGGTAATCTACGGAGCGGCTGTGCCAGGTTGGCCATGTATGATGATATCAAGATAACGGGATCTTGACTCGCATCAGTGAGCTAAGCAGAAAGACAACAGAAGACGGTGGTAGGGTGAGATACTACGGACGGAAAGATCTTATAAACAATGCATTTAATAATTGCCATTTTTATATTTTACATTAAAATATAACAAATATTCACCCATCATAAACCAACATTAATCACGGAACAATGCCCAAGCTCGACATCGCTTATGGAGATTTTTCGTACAACAGCGTACTGACAAAGGGCTCTACATGATTATTATTACGTACATTATTTCAAATGCGTTATTAATGTATACATCACTAATATCGTCTATGCATACACGCATACAATATATACACACACAGTGTTTCCATCAGGATTCTGTCACCCTTTATTTACATTTTACAAGCATAAGTGGATGCGGTGTACATTGCGTAACCAAGGGCCCTTGGAGGTTTTTTTTTATTCTTGGAAAACTAATCAAAAGTCGCCTTTCATACTTTAACATGAGCCATTTATAGTTCGAAATTATTTTGTAAAAAAAACAACGTAAATGGTAGTAATTCAAATTGCTTTTGGTTTTTTAACAAAGCCAGTTAAAACTGACGGCCGTCATCAGTCGTGCGGAGCAATTTAGCCGCTGCTCCACGAAGTAATTCGTGGCACGAAGTAATTCGCGGCACGTGGCGCCTCCTCCTCCTCCTTTCGTGTTTATCGCCAACCGACTCGAAAGCGGAGAGCCAAGTACATTGTCAGACGTGCTGCAATCACTCCTTCCAGTGCATTGCTCCGGTCCTCGGATATATTGTGGGCACACATTACCGCCACCTATAAATCCGAGCAGAGGGCTACGTGTTACGAAAGGCAGTAATTCTAGTCGCCGTGTGAACGCGATTGACAACAAAGTGCACTTGTGCGCTCAGAGACAAACGTTTGCCCGGTTGCTCCTTTTGGGTGTCCCGAAGTCGTTGAAATCCCAGTCTCCATGCGACAGCCTACATAGGGCAACTGTTGAGAGCAGATCGAGGTCAAGATACATAAAGACGTGAATAAGCGTGCAGGATGGAGAGCCAAAAAAAATATACAATTAAAAGTAACATACCAGTGTTCCTTTAGAAGACAAGGGGAGCTGCGATGGACGTTTGAGTTGGAGATAGTGGCCGTGATGTCTCTGTGTGGTCGAATTGTGCGGGGATGCTGAGCAGAGTTGGGAGGGGACTTGGGGGGGGGGGTGAAAGAGGAGGCACAGATTGATGCGGTTTGTGATTTTCTTGGCCTTATCAAAGAGACATGAGACAAGTTCGTCACACCTGCCATGTGATTGGGGCGGTATAGAGGTGGCTGGGTTCTGGACATGTGGTGATGAAGAATTGTGAGTTTATGATCAGTTATGATCATGGCTGAATGGAAGTAAGCTTTGGTCCTTGTAAGGGCAGCCTCATTTAGGCTTGACGTGAACCCTTCAGTATTTGTGAATGGATTTCTGGACTGGATTTGCCTTCTGTCGTCTCTCCAGCTTGCCCATGGTGACTTTTAGTTTGTGCACGGGGGGCAGGGGAGAACCAGTGGGCAAGGGCAGTTCGTGAAAACCGATGAGTCTTTAGAGGGACAAGACTATTTAGTGCATTGGACAGCTTTGTGTTTGAGTGCTGCACAGAGGCTTCCTTGGATCCTTAAAAGAGGGGTCAACAAACATATTGTGGTAGTAGCGAAATTAAGGGATCAGTTGAGATGTCAGCTTGACGGGTTAGTACCGTGTGTTCTGCCCCATGGCAGGTATGGGGGTGTTGATTACACATGACCTTCCTGATATGGTGTTGAGTTTGGTCACGTGACCAGGAAGTTACGATTTAAGATGATCTAAGCTATGAGGCAGGGTGTCAGCCATTACACAGAGTACAAAATGGAGGCACAAATAGCGTCTCAGTGAAGACAGGTGCATCTGTTCATTGAGGGACTTTAAGAAGCATTGTCTGTAAGTTCGTTTATGTTCTTATAACACTGGAAATGCTGTTATAATGTTAGGATTGCCGTTATAATGCTGTAAATGCCTTTATAATGCTGTTAAATTGTTATGATAAATATGAGGCCTAGTTAACAACGAAGCCTGCCACTTGCATTATTGTGAATGTTGCTTGTAGTTGGATAAGTCGAGCCAGACTTGTGCCCATGTAACTTTAATGCAATCTTGAGAGCAAGGATGAAGAAGTATCCCATCCACAGTTCAGTGTTTAGTGCAGCGCTGTACATTTAGGCTGCAGTATGGTGATTACACAATGTGACCTTATTTAACACAGTAGCTTATTCTCTTGTGTAGCTATTCAGTGCTAATGTAGGTGCCTGGTCCATGCAGGACCTATTGTTGAGTTTCATGTTATCTAAGACAATGTTATGATGCTCCTTGTGTTCATTCATTGTAGCTATATTGCAAGTATTAACAGATGCTGTATTTTGTGCTGTGTTTTTCCATCAGTTTTACCTCGTTCTATTCATGAAATACATTTGGGTTTCGAATGTTCACCCTGGCTCTGAAGATTTATTGAATGCGAGGTTAACTACTCGGATAGTGATGCAACACAGCCCACAGCGAGGCCGAGACACCGTGACATCACTTTCCTTCCCCCGCGCCTCCGATTACTTTTTGCGAAAGAAGTACAACATACATATACATACATAATAACCATATTCCCCGGGCTTCCCTTTATCCCAATTATTTAATTCATTTTAGATTTTACGTTAAACGTTTCTGTTGTAAAAGAAAACACGCAATTGAATCTACAACAATGAGTCTTTAAGCAATCTTTGTAAAATTGGGACCAGCTGCATTGTAATAGCTCCCTATCGATTCTGAACACTTTAAGTCTCGACAGCGCGCGCACGCGCCACCTTTCAGTTGTGAAAGCGCAGCTTCAGGCGTAATGAGAAGCAATCACGTGATGAGCGGCAGGTTTGTTTCAGTAACGGGACGGGGTGGGAAGAAGTAAGTGGGCCGGGAACGAGGTACGGGAAACAATGTAGATGAAACGGCAATTTACAAGCGTGCCCATCCGTATTTTGCAATTGACGGAGGCCTTCATTTTATCTGCCAGTACTTTGAACAAAGCTGGTGATTTTTTTTCTTTCCCGCAGGAGTTTGCTCAACGCCGCTGGTGCCCAAGACAAATTCGGAGATAGAAATTGTTTACGAGCTCGGGGAATTTTTTTTTTATTTTTCACCCGTTCAAACATTGCTTAAGAATGGACAATTCGGCCGCTTTAAAATTAAACAACGAGCAGACCGTAATGAACGATGATCCTGGCGTCGAGTATCGCAAACCGCTGTTGAGGCACCCAGGTTGTAAGAACCAACAGGACCACGTTTGTGGCCAGGAGGCATCGTTAAAAGAAGACCACGCGGGCTTTTTTTTTGTTTCGCGGCCGGGAGATCCACCGACAATATACGGCCATGGATTAAACGTATTTAATGGGCGGTCAAATGTTTTGACAGTGGGACATTAACAGTGCACACAGCATAATTGTTTTTCAATATTGTAAAGCCTGAACATCAATGCGCTTATTCTATTATGCGATGATTGCATTAATGTCGGTCTTCAGAGTATCCCGAACAATGGGTATCCATGACTATTTAATGCGTCGTTCCTGAAATGTTTGACCAACCTCATATATAACAATTAAAATACACTTCGTTATTTAGAGGAACCTTGTAATTAAAACAACGTCTGTAGGTTGTATGTTTAATTACTGAAAGGAAAAAAAAATCTATATATTGGCCTATGGACCTTCGAAATGAATGTCCCAAGTAGCAATTATTTAAACTAGGCCATCTGTATGTTTTATTATTATTTTATTTCCATTCTACGTGACTTTACCGAAAGAACCAAGAAGATGAATCTGTAGCCAGTTTTGATGTCAATACGTTGCATTGGTAACATGTGGCCTCTTGAAGAATAATTTTGTTACCGAGAAAAAAAAAGCCTCACTAAATCTCAGGAGTATTTAGTTTTTTTAAAAAATAGGGTCTTGTACTGGCATGTTTGGCACAAACCATGACTGAGTGTTATGAAAGTGGAATCGAAAGAGGAGTACCTGGAGAAAAGCCAAGCATTTGAGGTGGTGATAACCAGCACCGCTATCTTCCGGCCACCTTGGAGCTCTACACAACACCTGGCAAGCCCTCCTCCCCCACCGGTGGTCACGCATCTCAGGATTAACCAGGGTCAGACATGCTTAGCTGCTGAAGTTTTTTCAAATAGGGCGCATTCAGTGTGTGATTAGGTCATAGGAAAAGTCCACTGCCCCTGGATACCCTGATGTCACGGGCAGAAGTCAATGCCAAACAATCTGAGGCCCACAATTGAGTTGCAGCTGTGGTTAAACATGGTTAGTGTTTTTTTGGTTGCTGCTCCAGCAATTTTTGCAAACGCAATAATAACAAATAGTAATACTATAAATGTCCATCATTTGCCCCTGGTATCTCAATTGAGCATTGCAGTGGCGAATTAGCGCGATATCACGGCAAGTAGTCAGTGGGTGTAAAAAGAGCTTACAGAATCCAGCGGGCTTGAGTGACAATCTTAAACCCAGGAGCCTAGGTAGAGGAAGGGGCTTTGTTAAGCCGTGAGCAATTTTCTGACCTTGCCATTCAGCAGGCTAATCTGCCCTGGAATTCTCACACAAGCCACATTTGTACTGAAAGGGGCGGCATTGGAATGAACCAAGTGAGAGCTTCGCTGTGGGTGGGACTTGGGAATTTTTCGCATCCCCAACAGTTTTTTTGGTTGTTGCCGTATTCGTACATTGCTGACTGGACCATATTTCATGCAAAACAGGAGGTGGTTGCGGGGGTAAAAAAAAAAACCTTGAACATGATTACACAGTAATGTGATGTAAATGAGATTCAGTGTGTATGTGTGTGCGCGCGCGCTTCGGTGTTACGGTGCCGTACGTCGGCTTGGCAGATGGCACGGCATTGTAAGTGAAACACCCCTGCAAGCGGCATTGCGTTTCCCCTGGCCCAGACGCTGACAAACCCCCCACCAGCGGAGACCGGGGCCCCTCATTCACCGCTGCCACGGGCGCAGTTTCCCGGCGGCAGCTGAGCAAGCCGCATCGCCTTGCTCGTCTCCCCGCCCGCTCGCTCTCGCTGCCGCCGTTGCAACTCTGCCGCACGTTTTGCTATCCCGGAGCCAGCGCTCGCCAAAAGCCGTGGTGGTGGCAGCGGCGGCTCCTCGGTCAGCCGAGCCAAGAGGAAAAGCCCTCCGTTAAACACAACATCGCCATTTAACTCCTTGCTCTAGATGTAGTCTCCAGTGTAAGATCGCGTCTGCATTTTTAAAGCCCCTTAAAAAAACATATCTCTCTCTCTGTCTTGCCCGCCCCACCCCCTCTTCTGGTTATTTGCTTATTTTTGTCTTTGTTCTTTAGCCAGGCTGAACTTGCCCTTAAGGTGTGGTGAGTTTTGCGTGGATGGGGTTCGTTTTTTGGGGAGGGGGGTGAAAACGGAAGAAAGAAAAGGAGCATGTGGGCCTTTGGGAGGCAGATGCATTTTTCTGCTTAAAATTTAAAACTTGGAAGCTGCTTCGCTTTGGCTGCCACCCAGCTGGCTTCTAAACCGAAGGGCATCTCGCTTGCTCTCTCCTCCACATCAGCGGGAGCGAAACTCAATTGAGCGCCCCCGAGTCGGCAGACGCGAAGACTTTTCATGCCTTTGGATGTTTTCGACGATGCTCTGCGGGCTGCGGAGAGACCTGCACTCGGAGTTTGGTGAGTTTTCACGAGCGACGGATTTGCGAGCGGACTGGGAGGCTCCGTCCCACCTGGCCAGCCCAGAACCTCGCCGCTTCGTGACGTTTTGGGCTGGCCGGGTGGCCTCCGATTGCCCGGGACAACCTTTCCGCCCAAGTCCCAGGGCTGGATGGTTTTGTGATTCCTTGTTCAGGATGCCAATCTCGTCCACCTCTTCTTTGTTATTATTCTCCGTGTGGAACGCTTTCGAGTGTACATGTGCCATCCTTGACAGGGCATCAACGGTAATCTGTAAGTGGTAGCAATACAGTCTCGTGAGATGTCATATATTTGAGTGCCTAATAGGCCCTATTTCGTGACTGTTGTGCTCATGCTGTTTATTATGATTCCTCGTGCTGGATTTCTGGGTTCCTGTGACTTTGGGAGCATGCTATCAAGCATTACCTAAACTAAGACACCCAAGTGGAGATGTCTTATATTCTTGGTTCTTTCCCTTCCTTCTACGTGACTTTACAGAAAAAAACAAGAATATGAATCCCTGCAGTCACGAAAGCTTTAAATTATGGAGATGTCTTGTATGGCCATTCTCAAAAATGTAAATAGTATGTGTACAAGGATGCTTGAAGTGGCATTGCTGAATAAAATTAGCCAATGCGTCGTGCAAAAAAGGCCACCTCATAAATGAATCTTAATTAATGCATTATGTATTCAAAGCCAAGGCTGTCCAGGTTGTTGGGAAGACATTGATACTGTGTTGCAGCTGTTGGTTCATTGAACAAAATTCACAGAAATAAAATCCCTTCTGCGTTTTAATCAAATCTGTGACTGGCAGTATCCGGAGACGATCATTGTCGCGGCGAAGCAATTGCAACCGTGTTTGTGTTCCCTGTTATTCATAAGAAGACTGCAAACATTGCCAGAGTAGAGTGCTCTACGGATGTTTGTAACAGGCTTTGGTGTGTGTGTGTGCGTGTGGGGAGCGATGGCTTAGCGGTCAGCGCTACGCTGCGCTACAAATCCGGCAACCCGAGTTCGATTCCCGCTCACGGCCAACACCGGTGACGATTATCTGAACCGGTCCTGGGCATTCCCCAAGAGTAAACTCAGCCGCGTATAAGTACCTGGTGCGATGTGTAAACATCGCCACTGGTGAGACAAAGGAGGCGGAGCGTGGTGCTGGCCACCCACCTCCTCGTGTGCCGTGCCGGCCTTCATAGGTGCTCGCTAACAGCACTTGCCCCAAGAGTTTGTTTTTTGTCTTGTACGGCAGTTACATTTCCGATGGATTTTCTGGACGGTGAAACAAACATTTACTTTTTGTTGATAGTTGCAGCGAATACTGAAAATCCAGCAACATAATCGGGTGTATTCTAACAATTGGAACGTCTGATTCCGAATGGTGCTGCGTCAATGTCATTGCCGCGTCTGGTATTTGGAAAGGGAGCGCTCGCTTACACCGCTCGCCTCCGCAATCTGCGTTGCTTCGTATTACAGCCTCCGCGTAGACCAGGAATCCGATTTGTACCACACCCACTGGCAGGAACAGATATATGCACAGACATCGCCTTGGTTAGTGTGAGCATGATTTATTCATTGCTTTGACTCATTAAGCACAATTAGCACTCAATTAAACTCTGTGATTTGTTGTATAATGAGACAAATACAATAAAAAAATAACGTATGCAACACTTACAGTTTTGCATGGAGCGATATTGAACGACATTGTTGGCAGATTATTCTTTGTAACACGCGTAAAGTAGAATATAAACAGTTTTAAATTTGATCTGGATTATAAATCATCAATTTCTCTACAGTGCTGGATTGTAGTTGAGTGGCTCATTAACAGACATGCGCAAATGTTATTACTGTGCCTCAACTCACTTGTCAGGAGATTAAATAATATCATTATTATTAAGAGTAACCTACATTCTGGCCTGTATTGTGATCACGAAGATTAACTCCCTTTCCCGTTACGAGATATTTGCAAGTTGCAGGGTGGGGGTCCCATTCAACGCCAAATGTCGGAACGCACAAGCTGTTAGCGTTGCTTTTATTTACAGAGGCATAATTACATTGTACTCACCGCAGATAACTGTAGCGACACGACCGCATGCTTTAATAACTGGAGCCAAAAACTGTACCACATGCCCCATCTCCCCGCCCGCACGTGTGGCCTTGTGGGAGCCCTCGGTATGTCTTCCGACCTGAAGATGTACCAACTTATATTACGGTACACGTACGCCATAGGGTCCTGTGACATTTGGCAAATCTCGATCTTGATGCCGGTACGCATGGCCTACGCCCACCATGAAGGGGACAGCGCTTAGGTGCGGCGTGCATGCTGTCGGCCTCGCAGTGTGGACGGCATTAACCGCTTACACTCGCAGTATTGACCAGGGCGGCCGCTGGGCTCGAACTGCCTACCTCCGCAACAAGGTGGGGCAAAGCGTACGAACGCCGTGCTGCGTCACGCTGTCTCTCCGACTTGTAAACAAAGTCTCCCGTCAAGTCAATCGATCAGCGCTTGTATAGGAAATTTACAAATGATGTCACGTGTGGGTTTTTGTGTTAAAAGGGCAGGTCATTATATTTCGATTTAAAGCTTTCGTGACTGCAGGGATTCATCTTCTTGGTTCTTTCGGTAAAGTCACGTAGAATGGAAATGAAATAATAAAAATAAAACATAATATAATAAAATTCTCACGACGTTTCGGCCACAACACAAGTAGCCTTCTTCAGGTGAAGGAACAGAACTGTCGGGACGACAGCGCTTCAATGAAGCTTCATTTTGTTCTGTTCCTTCACCTGAAGAAGGCTACTTGTGTTGTGGCCGAAACGTCGTGAGAATTTTATTATATTATGGTTTATTTTTATTATTTTATTTCCATTCTACGTGACTTTACCGAAAGAACCAAGAAGACAGGTCATTATAGTTCCAGGATGCCTTTTGTTACCTGCATGAGTCAGAAATGCAATAGCCTTGGCCTTGGCTTTGTAGAGTCAAGATTGTTGGCTCTGGCTAAAGTCGGGTTTGAGCTTTGTGTTGGGTTCACATGACAGCACTTGCAAGTGTATGCACATTTTTTTGTACATTTTGAAACGCTTAAGTTTGTGTGATTTATAGCAATGTCTCCGTTGGTGCTGATGGAAAATTGACTAATTGCCTCCGCTCACTCATCTGAAGGTGAAGATTGCGTTCTAAGGAATGCAAGGGAGGCTTTTTTGTGAAGATTTTGCGGATGCTCAGGATTAATGAGCGCATTTTGCAGTGGGGAAAATTTTACAGGAAGGGTTTTATAACCATATAACCATAAAGAACCATGTGGTCGTCCTTCCAGATGTGATTTTTAGCAATCGAGGGCTGAGACCTAAATTGAGGTATGTCCCATTGCAATTGCAGCATTATGCACCGCCTTTTATGGTGATTTGCTTTACAGTTTTGCAAACATTTTTGCAATTTCTTTTTGCTCAAGATTAGGAATAAACGGAGCACTTTGTCTGGGGGAACTTAACGACATCCAGCTGTGTTGAAAATTGTGCCCTTTGGCATGATATCCAGGCATCTGCATAAATTACTCCATGCGTACTATATACAATGCACCTATGGCCATGCAGTGGTTAGCCTTACTGCGCTATGAACCCATAAACCCAAGTTTAGTTAACATCTCGTGGTGGCGAGATGTTATAACTGATATACGGGAGGTCGTGGGTTCCATCCAGACCCTGACGCCTGTGTATTTGGAGTTTGCATGTTCCCCCGTAGTCGCGTGGATTTTTCTCCGGATCTTCTGATTTTTCCCTCCACATTTAGAAAAATGCGTTTTAAAGTATTTGGCTGCTATAAATTTACACGTAATAAGCCACTTCGTTGGGCTATCATTTGTGACCAGGTCGCTTCTGAAAAAAACGGCTATATAGTTCAGTGGGCCTTATCAGGTAAAATAAAAAATAGTTGGCTTAGATTTATAGCCACCACAGCTATCATCATTGGCAAGTGATATCTGAACCGTGGAGATGGAGAGATGAGATCAGTTCACATGTCAGATCTCGATTGATTGTCACATTGCGTAGACCTCAAGGTATGGCGATGCCTTGGGGAGATCTTCATCCAACATTGGAAAGATCATGGCTGATGATGACAATGATGAAAGTGTTTTGTGGGTGGAATGGTGGGTGTAGTGGTAGTGTAATGCCCAATGAACCTGGCAAACTGTGTTCTATTCCCAGCCATGGCTAGCATCAGTGGTGAGTTTTTTTTTAAACCAGTTCTGTCCCCCCATCACCAACCTGCACTGGCCATCGTGGCGAAGTATGGCCAAACACATCCCTCGCAACCAACACGGTATGGGAAAACTTTCATCCAGCAGTGGATTGAGGAAAGACTGTAAATAATTGTTGCTATCGGAATTAAACACGTATAATAAAAGCATGCAGATTCGGTGACTTTAGTGACTGTATAGGGGTTAACAAAAAAGAGAGAGGCAAGGAAATAAAGAAATAAAACTGAAATTGGCAATTTTGGCTGGCAGGCCTTATTAATGTTGCGTAGGCATTGACCGTAAAAGTGCTCCCCGCTTCAACTTCCGACAACAAAAAACCTCAAAGTGCTGAACGGCACATACCTTGAAGGATGCAAGCGGTCTCTTGACTTTTTAAAGTCACAACAGTCAACACCATTCTTTTTTGTGCGCAGTTGGCCATGTGGAGCACAGATGTGAATGGAAGAGCAAAGCCGATTATGGTGATTGGGAGACCCGCAGTGTTGGGGCGTCCAATGTCTGCGTCCATCAATTGCTCCCTGTAAGCGGCCTCTTTCATAGACGACGACGACGACGATGATGATCATGCTTTATTCTGTGCTGTACATAGAGCGTGTTTCTCGTTGGCCCTAAATTAGGAACCGTAACACAGTATTGTGTGTGGTTTATTCATATTACCCTATTGGTCTTCATCATAGCCATAGAGTAGTTCAAAACAATGCCAGGTATTGTTTAGTTCGGAGTAAGTTTATGAATGGA